ATTCTTCCTTCAATTCGGTTCTCCAGAGCATGTAACTTCCGGTCCATCTTGTTCTCCCTCCGATTTGAATCCGGCAGGTCGGACCACTTTGTTAGGAATCTGGGTTAGAAGCCTAACACGCTCACTCTCTAATCACACTCCAAGAATCACACCCAAGAATCACACAGAAGAATGAGTAAAGAAACGTATGATATTCACAGCAAAAGAACCAAGAATACAATCCAGAATCCAGAATTGGACCACTTTGTTAGGAATCTGGGTTAGAAGCCTAACACGCTCACTCTCTAATCACACTCCAAGAATCACACCCAAGAATCACACTAAAGAATGAGTAAAGAAACGTATGATATTCACAGCAAAAGAACCAAGAATACAATCCAGAATCCGGGAGCTTAACCTACCTCACCAGGTTCAAAACCGGTCTATACAATGCAAGTAGTAACTCCCTAACTGAAACTACAAAATAGGTCTCTTATATAGACACTTTTCCCGCCCCATTTTACTACTCAGCAGTAAGGTACTCTTCCTTATTTTTCTACTCTCTCTCTCCTTTCATATACTTTCCAAGTCCTAACAATAAATGTCCATGTTATTTAATATTTTGTGTTCGACAGGGTTAAAGAGCGATAATCACAAGTGTAAACATTTTGCTTTACCACAGAGAAGATTTTACTGCTATCTTCTTTTTCTAATGCAAATTCCTTCAAAAATACATTTTTTAGCACCTCCCGCCACATCATTTTTAAATCCCATGGTACCTTAATGCCACTTTTTTCTGTGGCAACCTTGAAATGGTATCTTAATCGAGTAGCCAAATATGCAGCTAAGTAATGTCAAGTCGATATATTAAACCAAGACTGATACTCCTCCACAAAAACTAAAAACTAATTAGTTAATGCAACATAATCTTAACGTTGAAAAAACAAATCATATGTTGATACAAATACTTAAAAAGCACAGGAAAACTTTAAATACCTGTTTCAGGTTGAACAAGAAATTTCTAGTTAGATATGCCTGGACAATGGCACGGGCACTCAGAAAAAGTAGCTGGTATCCATTTTCCTAACATAAAATACAGATAAAGTATTTAGAAATTAATCTCCTAGATATATAAATTGACAAGACAATAGGCTTCACCATAACACCATGCTTGCTAGACTGCATTTTACATTAGACAGATCGCAAAGTTATGTTGATAACCATTAAATTTGTTTACATTTTCATTCCAATGGAAACAAAGGCAAGCAGAAATCTGGGGCAATTAGGATAAACATATCAAAAAGCACTCGTAGAATAAAAAAGTACAAAAGTAAAATGAAACAAACTTTTCCCATAAATGAAAATTAACTTACACACCTCTACTTTTAGAGGAGTTAGATGAAAGAGTTGTTCAAAAATTGAGATGGATAAGTTGATTTTAAATTGTATAAGTTTTATTCAATTTATTTTATTTACTTCTCCTATAACGTAAGGAATCCTAGTCCTAAATTGCATAATCATAATTATAATAATACTAATAATAAAGGAAGGGTTAATTCAAGTGTAAGTCCAGGACACTTACCCAATTTAATAATTTTCGTAGAAATAAAACTAAAAAATCCAATCACAGAATCATGTGGTATTATGTTAATGATCCTTGATACAAAATTTAGATAAACTAAACATTTGTAGCTATGTAATCATAAGTTATTAGTAAAAATATTTATAAAATGCAAAGTGAAATAGTAAAAGAAAGTAAACGATGTATGGTAAACTTTAAAGTACACAGGAAAAAAAAATGTGTTGATAACACTAGCACCAATTACATTCTCAGTTTCTCTATTTGTAAAAATTAATCTATTTAAAATAAAGAAACAAAACATGCAGAAAAAAATAGAAAGTTTCTAAAGATATTTTATCTTAATCAATATGGAGACCCTAAAGATACTTTTAACCCAATAAAGCGCTATTTACAACAGGTAATGAAAGTAGACTGTCACACTAGTCACCACCTTCCTATGGACTACGTTTGTTGATTGAACAAAAAATGTTTGACCAGGCCTCAGCCTCATTTACGGAGCAATATCAAGTCCTGGCTAAAAGGAGGAAGGTTTAGTTCCTTTTATTAAACCCATAAATTTATGAGCGCATATATATTTACATTTACATAAGATCTATAAAACAAACATAACCAAAGAGAGTGAACTTTAAATTACTGCAGATGCAATGAGAATATCTAGACCACAGTTCAATTCATCCTTAAAATAGAATACCCAAGAGGTAAATAGAAGTTACCTAGGCCTAGCAACTGAATTTTGTTTTCTGTCTCTAATAAGAGTCCCTCATCAGTTGTACAAACTCAAGCCAAATTTAGGAATAATGTACACATCTATGTTAAGAGACACAAATGAAAGAACTAGCAACAAGATTTTGAAATTTAATTACACATTCCACTGTACAATAATCTTATTACATAAATATCCTATGAAGATCTGTTTCCATTTACCTCTTTCAATTTTTGCCATAACAATCCTACCAAAATTTAAGTAAACATGTTAGATCTGTACAAATAAAAAAAAATATACATACCTTAATGGCACAGAAAAGCCTGGCCACTCCAGATTGCGTCCAATCTTTGCCAACTAAAGGCATGAACTGCCCCAAAACATCAGACCTAAAAGGAAAGAAAATATAAGCCTTTTTTTATTGTGGTTCTGAAATTATAGTGTAACTGACTTATATTCCCTCTGTATTCAGACATGTTTGTCTAATCGTAAGAGGAAATGCAATCGTGTTTAACATCATTTTGTCATGAACGAACATTATAGCCCTGGGGTGTACATGATTTTGTACATAAAACGAAAACCAAATTCAACATAAAACAGAGTATATAGATTGGATTTTAAATCAAGCAACTCTATTTTTTAAAAACTAGTTTGGTTTTTGACCAAACCAGATTCAAATTATTTAACCAGTTTACGAACAAAACTGGGTTTTAATTCCAAAACAGTTTTTAAAACCAAAACTTATTTTTAAAATGGTCCAAAACTGATTTAGAATTAGTTTTATTTATAATCAGTTTTTAAAACCAGATAACCAAACCATTAGTAAAGAATTGAACTAGTTAGGCTTAAATACTATGCGTATTGTCCGCAATTTTCAAGAGTGGTTAGGTTTAATTTAACTTTTTTTTGCACAGCCCTAATCTATCATTACAAAGACATGTTGGGTATGGGTAACAAAAAATTTTGAATGTTGTGCAATCTGTAAGGCCTCCTATGAAGAAGCAGTACCAAAGGAGAAATAGAGTTAGGTCCAATTATTGAACAGTCACCACAGTTAATGAGGCTTTGTAAAAAGTGTAACTAACCAGCTACCCATTCAGATTTTATCTTCTCCTTAAAGTCATTGTCCCAGATAAGGGATTTATCAATAAGCATAATTTTTTTCTCTCTCTATCTACCCTTTTTGCATATGATGCAGTTTCTATCACTACCATCACAGGGAGACAATCTAAAAATGTAAAGAAACGAAGTCCATTCTCTACAAGGTTTAGTCAAAGGATCAGCAACATAATTTTACATAGTATGTGCACAAGCTAATGACAGATGCTTCAGACTAAAAGTCCTTTAATGCACCATAAGCTTATAGAAAGCCTGAATCCAAGACGAGGAACAACTACAAATATGAAATTTCACACTTCAAAGCAGATCCTGCCCCATTCTTCTCCGTTGCCTTTCACTTTGTAACAGTCTAATTAGCATCAACAATTACCAAAGTTTGCATTATGGACAACATGGATTTCATCTACATCTAATTTAATCCAAACAGAAGTTGTAAAGAAAAATAACAATATTGAAGTAGAGTCTATGTCAGGTCAAGTTAAAACAATACTTGTAGCCTAAAAAGCATTATTAGCAGCCTTACTTGGTAATAGTTCCATCAACGTCTGAAATAACAATTCTTGCATTCCACTTCCATAAATAGATATGAGCATCAACCTGTAATGCAATTAAAACTTCTCTCTTAAACAAAAAATGTCAATAAATGAATGTTTAGAAGTTAGTGAATAAATGTCAACCTGTTGTGTACCGAGAACCCTTGTAGAGAAACTGAATGTTACCAAATTTTGACCATCTTTGAGGTTTAAGGATGCTATCTGCTCATTAGTGGGAACATTTGTTCTTAGAAATTGCTTTCCAGGAGATCCCTGGGTACTGGATGTTGGAGTTTGGTCTGCAAAAGATCCAGACTCAGAATCAAGAAACACCTCCTCATTTGATGTATTGCTATTAGTATGGTCAAATGTTTTGACCTTTCGGAAAGGAATAGGCCACAGTCTCCATCTGCGCCCAGCCGAAGATGATCCTAGATCATTATCCCTAGACTTCAATGCTTGATCCTGTTCCACAGGAACCGTATCTTTGGGCTCAACAGGCAAATCTAAACCATATACAGCCATTCCAAGGACAAGAGGAGAAGCCTTTTCCCACGTCATGTACCTCTCTTTAAACTTGATAATAAGATTTGGATTTTTAATTATTGAAGGAGCAGAACTTGTGAAGTCAACCGAAGATATGCGATGTGCTTCAAACACTTCAGCAGCAGCTACTGAACCCATCCCCAGCTTAAGTTCATGACCACAAAGTGAAATCTCAAATCCTTCAAATTAATAGTTAAATAAAAATAAATAAACAGTGCATTAATATTAAATAAATAATTGAAGAATCCAAGTGCAAGCCATTTGCAGCACTGGTCTTACCCAAACCCAAGTGGCTTTGATCCCCTTTATTTGAAGTTTCTGTTTGAGGTTCGACTACCTCACATGTAACCCTGACATCTTTGAGTGAAGGGGCTTGTTGACTCTCATCTCCCGTATTATTTGTCACTGACTTGACAACATGTTCATTATTCTGTTCTGTTTCGGTAGTAACTGAACGATAGCCAGGATCATTTTCAATTTCTCCAGATGCATTTTTCTCAACCTCTTGAATTTCCAATTCTGATTTTGGATATCCATAACCATTAGAAGAAATACAACAACCAGGAGGTGATAACTCATCGCCACTTTTAGGTTGCACAATCCTCCCTTGTTCATCTTCATTAACTACAAAACAACTTCCATTAGATTGATCTGCTGAATTTTGAATCCCCAATGGAGAACCTGTATCTTGTAAATCGGCAGCATTTCCAGCCTGCTGACCAAAATGTTGCAGCTCCAAACAGCTTTTGAAAACATTCTCCCTATTGATACCAGATGCAGCCACTTCTGAATCAGTTTTCACCTCCGGATTTTTAATCTCTAAGTTTTCCTGTGTCTGACTAATATGTGCCTCCTCTCTTTGACAAACTTCGTGTAAGTGCTTAAAAGTATTATCGTCACCATTAATGTTACAACATCTAGGATGGACATTAGTTGTTTGAGCATCTAGCTGACTAATATAATCAGTAGCCCAAGCATTTTCACCAATCTCTCCATTGCCTTCACATAAGTCAGTCTCTTCACCTGGTCCCAGGTGAAATTGAGGAGTTTTTAAGTGCACATTCTCCTCAGTTTGCTCTGTTTCTGAGATAGGGGCCATTAATATATGACCATCAACACTCACCAAGACCATCTCTGGATGTGCACCCTGTGACTCTGCTAAATTGTCTCCCTCTAGGCTCCCGAATGAATTAGAGTCGTATTCTGACAACTCAACTGAATCTTCTAAAGAAGATCGATCATCTGGGAATTCGTAAAATCTTCTATCAACATCAGATTCTGACCTTTGAATTTGAGGCGCATGCACAACTAAGGAATCACACTGTTCTTTCAACTTCAGAACCCCAGAATCCGAGATGCTATGATCAAGTCTATGAACATTACCAAAATAGCCATTCTTTTTGTCAATGGAATCTTGAACAACCTCAATTGAATCGATCACTTTATCATCATCCACCTCCTTCAAGAAATAAGCCTCCCCTGAGTTGTCAAGACACATATGAAAATTGGCCTCAACACCATTAACATTTATCTTAACATACTTTTCCGCACCTTTGAGAACACCCTGAAATTTACCAAACCGAACATACCAAGGCGTACTCCGAAATGTCCCATCTTGTTGCTGAACAACAATCACATCAACAGCTCCACCAAAGGGGTGAAAAGGGGTTGCAACTGAGTACACACCTTGAGATATCAAGCTTCCAACTTTTCCTACCACATTCATATTTTTTCTCTTTCTCAGAGAGAGAGAGTGGTCAAAAAACAAAACAGACCTCAGAATGTAACCCCAACGTCTTACATAAATCCTTCCCCCTACTCTTGTCTCTTCCCACTGATTAGCATTACGCTTCCTGATCAACAACACCACTGCATGCAAACATAAATAAAATTTATTTAAAAAATAACAAATTAAAAAAAAAAAAACACCATGACTAATTTAATGCACATAAAAAAAGGACTTTTCCCACCCATTAAGAGAATAATGAAGGGGTGACTTAAAATCCATAGTTGGAAACAGAATAATCAATATAAAAGAGGGTGGTACTTACAGATTCAGAAAAAGAAAATAAAAAATCAGTGGACTCAAAAACTGATGGCGATTCAAGTTTTTCTCCCCTTCTGTTTTATTTCTATCTAATGATGCTGTGAATCCTCCACCTCCTTGTCCTAGGTCGTTGTGAACGTTTTCATGGAGGGTTCAAAGTTTGAACTTGTGGAGGATTTGGAATCCAGAAAGAAATATCCCGGTTTCAGAAACAACCCTTCTCACTCCACACCTTAAATAGTTACTCCCAACACGAAAATCCTCAATTACTCCATTTTCGCAGCCATATTACCAGAATTACCTTCTAGGATAATGCATAAAAAACGAATCCTGCGCGGGGGGTTTTCGTCATTTTCGTTCGTTTTTGTGATTCAGCATGGACGAATCACAACACCGAACACCCTCCATGGTTTGTTTAACATAGGTTTCACTCTTGATTTAAAAAATTTATTTTGGGTATTTTTTATATTTTCATTTAATTATTTATTTGAACTTGAATATGATTCCATCAACATTTAACCAAATAATATAAGATTTATTTAATGATAAGCAAATGAATGAAAGAATTTAAAATATAAAATTAGAATTAAGAACTACTTATGAAATATATTTTAAAATAATTAACATTAAAAACATATTTCCATGTTGCAAATATATATTTATCAAATATAAAGTAAAAATAAAGTACAATCGAATCAAAATATAATTTGAAGTTTTATTCTTAATATATAAGCTTATTAAATTTAGTTTAAAATCAAGTTGTACTCGTGGGTGTTTGATAGATATTTCCATAAGGGAAACAAAAGCAGAATATACATTCATTTTTTCTTTACGAACAAAAGTACATGCATCTTAACTTTTAAATAAGCTAAACGAAAAAGATTTTACGTTAAAATCAAATATACATGATTAATATATCCAAGGCACCAAATATATCAACTTCATCTAACGTTCATTTAATATTATTTATCTAGAGTGATTAAATAATATTTTAAGAAATATTGATTAGTTTAATTATTATATATTAATAAAAATGTAATTAAATTTCGATAATTTAATTATGTTATAATATTTTTTAATATCATATATTAATAAAATATATATTAATTAGATAAAATATAGTATTATTCTTATCATTACGTTAATTTAACACATAAATAATAAGTTATTATATTTATTGATATTATTTGATATTTTTTTGATATTTTTTATTTTTATAACATAATTTATAAGATTCATAAATCCTATAGATACATATAATATTTCATAAAAAATACACGTTTTTTATTATATTCATATATCATAAAGCTTTCTTATTAACTTAAGTGTCAGAATGGTGGATCTTCAACTCTTGACAACGAAAAATTTGATTCCAACCATCAGGAGCATTTAAGTCACCACTTAGATCGTTTCACCTATACAAAAGTTTACACTCTAGATCTTGATAAGAACATTTGACAACCACAATAATAAGGAAACTATTTTTTTATCTTGTCCAAATTTAAGAGATAATAAGCTCGAGTAAAAAGTCATTCCAGAGATTTTTAAGAGATGTTAATAATAACACATAAGTTCAAATGAAAAGTCATTTAAAAATTATTTCAAAGGCATTAAGAATAATGCATAAGGTCAATAAAAAAATAGTTTCTTTTTAAAGGTGGCTAAAGTGGTGGATCTCTCCTCTCTCATCAAAATCTCGTTCTTATTAAAACTTCAATTTTTTTTTTTGACAAAAAGACAAATATGTCTTTTGAGAGTCTAATACTCCAACTCAAAGATAAAGAAACTCAAAATGATGATAACTTACAAATCGGTCTCAATCATGATGTTCATCAAATCCCTGATGTTTGAGCGTTGTTAGATTTATAAATGATCAACCTTATACATATAAGGTACGAGAAGAAACTCAGTTGAAAGAGGATGAAGTACGAGTAATCTTGATCCAAACATTCCAAAAGGAGTCTAAAATCCAAACATTTGGGAACTGCCTAATCACTCTGGCAACCACAAACGCCGAAAATAAATCTTGATCTCTAAAGCGTTCAAGACAACATTCATGGTCAAAGACGACCACTCACAGCTCAGTCAGACAATCAATCCTCCTGCAAAGTCATATAATCAATCCTTCTTCAAAGTCAAAGACGACCACATACCGAGAAATGTTATTCCCTCTCCGACCAAGACATAACTTTACTTGTTCAAATAACAATTGAGGTGAAGTAGAGTCATGAACAACACATCCCTTTATGATAAATAGATTCATTTTGTAAGGTCGTTATTATGGGTAGTTCCTACAAAAGATTAGACTAATGATGTATACAATACTTGAATTCCCAATGTAGATGCTACATAGTTGGTTTTCATCATTCAAAAGACTACGAGTATAATAGGAGCATCCGTCAACAAAAGGATCACCTTAAAATGATCATCTCATGGCTATTAAGAACAAATCAAATCAAACAATTCTATTTCTTATCCTTAATGTTTTCGATCTTGGTTTCATAGGAACAAGTCATAGAGATTGAGAAAAATAATCAAACTTATGAGTTTGTGGGACTTACGTACTCAACCCAACAAATATACTAAATAGCATGGTCCAATAAGGCTCATTCAATATTATTGATCGAAAGTGATTAAATAATATTCTAAGATATATTTAATAGTAAAACTATCATATATTAACATAATATAATATGTAACTAAATCTCGATAATTTGATTACGTTATAATATCTTTTAATACCATACATCAATAATCCTAAAACTCTTTTATTCAATTGAATCAACCATTAGAAGCATTAAGTAACCACTTGTATTTTGCCACTTATACAAAAATTCATGCTTCGGATTCCACTAAGAACACTAGATAAATTTGTTACATAAAAATAATTTATTTTATGTATTTTTCTAGTATGAAAAGGTTAATTTATTCAAACAAAAGTAGATGAATTTATTTTAATTCTTACGGCACTCATCATCATCATCATAATAATGCCAAGTAGTTAAACTCACATTGGATTTAAATATTCATAAATATATGAAATTAATTCAAGTTAAAATATTAAATATCAGCATAATATTAAGAATTTAAGTATGAATTAAAAGTTTTTACACTGAATAAAATAATAAAATCGATGATATATAAAAAAATAATATTTATTTTAACACATAATATTTTTATCAAAATATAGATTTGAAATAAATTAAATTATATACTAACTTGTCTTTAAACAATCTATAATATCTTCATATCTAGACAAATTAATGCAATTTATAAACATCCATGACTTAACCATCATCACATTAAATTATACGTAGTCAAGGTTTATTCTCAATTTTCTCTTTTCGCAGTATTCCTTATTATTAACACTAGTGCAGAATTGGCTTTCAACGTCCTCTTATAGACGTCCGTCCACAAAAGTCCCAACGTAAATAATTGACCGGTGACATATTCGTAAATAAGTGAAACTCTAGACGTCCGTTGTGGAGGGAGGGGGACGGACGTCTATAATATTATAGACGTCCGTGGGAGGGGTCTAGGATAGACGTTCGTTCCCCTCCACAACGGACGTCTAAGAGGCTGAACAAATGAACGTTTCAACTCCCCCTATCAGCCCCTTAAACGTCCGTTGGGGAGGGGGACGGACGTCTATAATATTATAGACGTCTGGCCCCCTCTACAACGGACGTTTAGGGTGCTGACAGGGTGGTTGAAGAATTAATTGTCTTCAGCCCCTTAAACGTCCGTCCTTATCTGTCCTAATTTGTCCTCTGGTATAGGAGATGTACTCTTGAAGCGCTGCAAAATTCAAGAAAGATTCATTATGGTTTCATATATGTTTGAAGATGAATTTGATTTGTAATGTATTCAAGGTATACATCATTACCTCATTACAGTCATCTGTAATGACAGCTCGAATGATGGTCTTAATCCAACACATCACATAGAAGCCACATTCCCATGAATCTAGCTGCTGGTTACACTAAAATGACAAACTAAATAGTTAGAATTTAGATCATTCAATAACATAGAAAATGAATTAGAACTATAAATGACTTAGCATTTTGTTCAACGTATTGCAAGAACTTCAAAACACCCTTATCATATTCTTCACTGATGCGACGTTCATTCATCCAGCTTCGATCCTACTATGTTCGTAAAATCATCAGTTGAAGTTTTTTAACTCTCACAAGGTTAGACCCTACCCATTCAAAAAATTAATTTTCATATTTGCTAAGACACATGCATTAAAGTCTACATCATAAAATTGATAAGATTTCGACAGCATTTCGCATTGTCTCTGAAATACACGAAATGAGAGTAGTCAACGATGACCACAATCAAATATGCATCCGGAGAACAACACAAATACTGAACCAAATTTTAATCAATCTTATCCATAAACTCCAATTGACATGTTATTGCAAATTATGAAATTAATTTTCTCAAACTGTCCAATCGGACAATTCAATTTAAACACAAATGATTAAAAAGATTAATCGTTTGTTTAAATTTTAAACAGGAACTAAGTGTCACTCAATATTTGATACTTATATACTAACATATCACAATTTAATAACCACAACTAATACATGCATATTCAAAAGCCAATAACACATGCATACCTTAGAGTAAAAAACATGCATACAAAAAACTTTATCAATGAACAAGCTAACCTGAAAAAGTAGATTCCAAATGAAAGGAGGGAAATCGAGGAGGGAACGGCGTAAAACGTAGCCCAAAAAACAGTCAAAAAGCTGCCCAAGAACACGCAAGAGACTGCACCAAAACGCACCGAAAACGATTTTTAATCGGTTCAAATCAAAGATATTTCATCACAGGGCAATGTAATCGGATTGAAAGTAAATTTAAACGGTCCAAAAGAGAGAAAACGACCTGGAAAAGCAATGCCGCAAAGAGAGTTCGCGGGAAGACGATGAACAGTGAGCGCAACTGCTCGCGGGTTCGCTTTTTAGTATTAATACTATTAGACGTCCGGTACTCTAGGGCCCCGACGTTTTAATATTATAGACGTCGGGTCCGTCACTAATATGACGTCTTTGGGGATTTAAAATTGATATTCGCGGGGGGTTTTAGACGTCCGTGGAAGGGGCCCGGACGTCTATAATATTATAGACGTTTGTCCCCCTCTCACAACAGATGTTAAGAAGCTGAACAAATGAATGTTTCAACTCCCCCTATCAGCCCCTTAAACGTCCCTAGTGGAGGGGGCGGACGTCTATAATATTATAGACGTCCGGCCCCCCGATATGCGGACGTTTAGGGTGTGACAGGGAGGGGTCTAGGATAGACGTTCGTTCCCTCCACAAGGACGTTAAGAGGCTAACAAATGAACGTTTAACTCCCCCTGATCAGCACCCTTAAACGTCCGTTGTAGAGGGGGCAGACGTCTATATTTAAGACGTCCGTCCCCCTCCCCAA